GACACGGCCACTGAGAACCCTGTGGGGCACAGCTCTCCTCTGACACGGCCACTGAGAACCCTGTGGGGCACAGCTCTCCTCTGACACGCATGGGGTCACCAGGAGTCGGAGTCGACTCGCTGGCAAATGGTTTGGTTCTGAGGTCCCCAGTTGGTGCAAATGGTTGATGTGCTCGGCTGCTCACCGAAAGGTGAGAGGTTCGAGTCCACCCAGAGTCACCTCGGAAGAAAAGACCTGGCAATCCGCTTCTGAAAACTCAGCCACTGAAAACCTACGGAGCCAAGTTTTAGTCTGATTGTTACACATGGGGGCGCCATGAGTCAGAGTTGACTGGATGGCAACTGATTGACCAAGGACAGGTAACCGGTGTTCAGAGGAACCCCCAGCTTACTTCGTGTCCGGGGGATGCGTGCTGGCCCAGGTCTCGGAGCTCTTCAAAAAGAGGCAGGACGCTGCCGTGATAGATGTCCCACCAGAGATTCAGAAACTCCACTTGCTGTGCGTTGTCCGCGCCTGAGCCGTCCTGCACAACCGAGCCAGTCTGGGGGTTATACTTGCAGCTCCAAGGCTTGGTGGACCCCAAAAAGTGCACCACCTTTGCATCAGAGCCAAACCTGAGAAGGAAGAAGAGAGGATTCCACTTCCTATGCACAGAAACCGTCCACCTGGGAAACTCGTCAGGAACGAGTTTCCTTACTGATCATAACCCATTGCCGCTCAGGCGATTCCAACTCACAGCGACCCCGCAGGACAGGGGAGAACTGCCCCGGAGGGTTTCCAAGGGGCAGCTGGAGGATTCGAGCTGTCGACTTTTTGGTGTGCAGCCGAGCACTTTAACTACTGCGCCACCAGGGCTCCATTTATGTATGCATCTACTTCATATATATACAATATATATATAGTGACTATATATATATAATACATGTATTATATATCTACCTACATCTATGTATATATATAACAGACCAAAAAATAAAAAAATGAACCTGTTGCCATAGAGTTGATTCCAACTCATAGGGACCCTACAGAGTAGAACTGCCCCATAGGGTTTCTGAAGCTGTAATCTTTATGGAAGCAGACTGCCACA